CAAAATGGGTGGAGCAGTGGAAGGGAGAAAGTGGGAGCCCTCTCCAAGTAGCCAGTTCAGGCCTCTGCAATAGTGACTGGTCCTTCCTTTCGGAAAGAGGGAGGAAGGGAAGGAGGGAAGGAGGGAAGGAGGAAAGGAGAAGACAGTAAGTAGAGATGGATGAATCTGTCCATTTTGGTTCCTCCCAACCTGTCATGCTTCCAATTTTAAATCCAGTCCTCCACAGTTCTGCAGCAATTTGCCCCTTTTTTGTAAAAACAAACAAATAAACCATGCACAAAATCCTTATGGAAATCCATCTGCCTTGTGCCAATTTCTCCCAATAAACACATTTTTATCGGGAAAATATCTAGTATTTAGTGCCTAGTCACAATTAAGCAGGGGTGGGGAAATGAGATAAAGGTTTTTTTCAAAGGTATATCAGTTGTTGCTGAAGTAACACAGCACTAGGAAGCATAAACATATGTTAAAGTGGAATGAAGGAAGAGACACCAGGTGATCTTTCTTGCTTTCTTGCTTTCTTTTTAATTTGGGAAAGGCTCAACATTTTGAGAGGTGAAAACTTAGAAGGAACGCTGCTTTAAAAATGTCAATACAATTACGCTGGATACCATGAAAGAGTAAAGTGACAAGCTAGACAGGGGGTGTCAAATGCTGCCCCTATAAGCAAAAGGAAGAAAATAGGAGTTGGGTGGTTGTTGTTTTTTCATTTATGGTTGGAATGCTAGACAGTAAGGAAATATTAGTGAATGGCTAAAAAAAGGTAAAGGGGTAAATGGACCCCTGACCATTAGGTCCAGTCATGACCGACTCTGGGGTTGCGGTGCTCATCTCACTTTATTGGCCGAGGGAGCCGGCGAACAGCTTCCGGGTCATGTGGCCAGCATGACTAAGCCGCTTCTGACGAACCAGAGCAGCGCACGGAAACGCCGTTTACCTTCCCGCCGGAGTGGCACCTATTTATCTACTTGCACTTTGACGTGCTTTCGAACTGCTAGGTTGGCAGGAGCAGGGACCGAGCAACAGGAGCTCACCCCGTTGTGGGGATTTGAACCGCTGACCTTCTGATCAGCAAGTCCTAGGCTCTGTGGTTTAACCCACAGTGCCACCCGCGTCCCATGTGAATGGCTATAATTATAGTCAATTTTTTAAACTGATAAATTTAGTTGTTAACCTACTATTGTGCCTTTTTAATTCTACTAAAGGTTACTGGATCACTAGGAAAATTCAGGTGCAGAGGGTACAATTTGTTTTGAAAGGAATCTTTATGCTAAATATTGGAAGATAGATTCTAAACCAGGCAGCATAAAAGTAGGTGGCAAGTGGTAGGAACAAGCTAAGAAACACTGAGTAGATGTGAAGAAAACACATGGCATATAAAGAAATAGGATAACTTTTAGTTGACTCATATTCAGAGTAAACCAACTGAAATAAATGGACTCAAGGAATTCACATTAATTTAGATGCTCTTCTCTGACTTGATTGGCTATCACCCTTTTTAAGCAAATGGAATCCAGTAGTCCAATTTGCACAGATATTTAAATATTTTAGATGTTTAAGATCTTTAGGGTACTTTAATACCCTTATTCTTCTTATTCTTATTTTATTTATATGCAACCCATCTGTCTGGGTTGCCCCAGCCACTCTGGGGTGGAATCTACACACATTTAAAAAACCATTCTGTAAAAGCATTTAAAAAAATACATTGATTTTTCCACAAGGCTCACCACTGCCATCTAGTGTCACATTGTATATTGCACTTAAAACACACTTAAACCGTTTTATTGGTAGCTATATAACTCAGTCCTGGGTGACTCCAAACAAAATATTAAAAGCACAATGAAACATGTACAAAAGCTATTGAAGATACTTAGGATGTTTAAACAAGAAGTTTTAATAAGATAGGTTATATGCAGTCCTTTTTTCTTAAAAAAAGTTTAGGGGTACTCTCATTTTGACTCAAGAAAATCACCATTTTATAGTTCAAATTTGGAAAAATGAATACAGTAAATGGACAAAAGTACAAAGATTCACAATATGTTTAGGGGTATGTGTGCCCCTGCGTACCCCAGAAAAAATGTATGTTTATATGTTTGGCTATTTTTGTAAATTGATTAGCTTCCTCCTTTTCTGGTTAAATAATAATAATAATGAACAGATCTGCCCCCAAAAGAGAGAGGAATAACACTGATAGGCTAGAGACTGTCGCCATATACAGCAAAGGATGTTTTCATATGGATTATTGATCATCATAGACAGCAGAAAGCAGGGGCGGCACATCCTATTTTGCTGCCTGAGGCAAAACAGGAAAGTGGTGTCCCGCCACCACTGCCCTGCAGCCGAAGACTCCCTTACTTGGGTTGTGCAGCAGCACCCATGAAGCAATGAGGATAGGTTCCGTCAAGATCTCATGGCACATATGAGATCCCACAAGATTTTGGCGACAGCTATGCAGAGATGAAATCTGTGGTCTGTAATGATCCAAAATATTTAAACATGCACTGTACACAGTGTCGGATTTACGTATAAGCTAAACAAGCTATAGCTTAGGGCCCCACTCTCTTGGGGGCCCCCAAAAAAATTAAAGGGGGGAAAACTGGATGTACATTTCCAAAATATAAGATAAAAAAACTAATAAAGTAAAATAAAACCTACATACAGCAACAGTGTTTTGTTTTGTTTTGTTTTGTGTAGGCTCCTATGATGTAAGTAAAATACTTATTTTGTTATGTGCAAATGGCTTTAGATACCTATTAGGTCCATAAATTACCACATAGCATATATTCAACACAAAAAACAGCAACAATTTGATGTAGACAAAGGACAGCTGGACATATAAAGGGCCTCATTACCTTCAGTAGCTTAGGGCCTCATCAAACCTAAACCCAGCCCTGACTGTACACCAGAAGCTGTTAAGGGCTAATGACACACACATACACACACAAATATATATAGTAATATACAGTGGTACCTTGGGTTACATACGACGCTTCAGGTTACGGACTCCACTAACCCAGAAATAGTACCTCGAGGTAAGAACTTTGCTTCAGGATGAGAGCAGAAATCGTGCTCTGGCAGCGCGGTGGCAGCTGGAGGCCCCATTAGCTAAAGTGATGCTTCAGGTTAAGAACAATTTCAGGTTAAGAAGGACCTCTGGAACGAATTAAGTTCTTAACCCGAGGTACCACTGTATATATAAAAAGGCAAAGGACCCCTGACAGTTAAGTCCAGTTGCGAACGACTCTGGGGTTGCGGCACTCATCTCGCATTACCGGCCAAGGGAGCCGACATTTGTCCGCAGACAGTTTTTCCGGGTCATGTGGCCAGCAAAACCAGAGCAGTGCACAGAAACGCCGTTTACCTTCCCACCAGAGTGGTACCCATTTATCTACTTGCATTTTGACATGCTTTCAAACTGCTAGGTTGACAGGAGCAGGGACCGAGCAATGGGAGCTCACCCCGTCCCAGGGATTCGAACCACCAACCTTCCAATCGGCAAGCCCTAGGCTAAGTGGTTTAGACCACAGTGCCACCCGCGTCCCTTAATACACACACATCTAGGCTTCAACATACAGAGGTGGGAGCAAGTTATTGAAAGATTAATATCATCCCGCTCTTTAGTGACTCTTGCAGATGTTGCCGTAAAACAGAGCTGGCCCTGCCATCTTGTGGCTGAAGCAAGCTCTGGCATTCATAAGGCAGTAGGAGCCGACTGTTTCTACTTACCGTACTCCCGAGAAACAGGAATGAAAAAAGCAATTTGCTGTTATACATGGCAGAACCTTAAGCCACGATGAATGAAACAAAAGAACTTCTCAGATCATAAATATATGATAAGCTTTGTATTCAAATGCACCAGCTGATGAAACACAAAGGATAGCCTTTTGGAATGTTGTTGCAGTCCAGGAAATGGAGTGGGAAGCATTGCAGTAAAATAGGCAATAGTCCCAAGTTTGTGCTTGGAGCAGCTAAAACAGGAGGAGGAAAGACAGGGGCTAGGGTAAGAAGTTACGTAAATGCAGTTACATTTATTGATGTCTTTATTACACTTTCACCCCCAACTTTCCACCACGTAGGTCAAAGCAATCAAAATGCCCACCCTCAATTTTATCCTTACAACAGCCCTGTGAGATCAATCAGGCCAAGAGGTAGTGAGTTTCATGGTTGCGTGGGGATTTCAGCCTAGGTCTCCTCAATCCTAGCCCAGCACTGTAACCTCTACATGCCTCTGCCTCATGTTTAGGCTCAGTTTTTGGATGAGGGCTGACTTGGGCCAGTTCACATAGAGGGGAAGCCCCCAGGCCCCTGCGATCACCTTAGAAGCCAGCATTAGCACAACCGGATGTCTTCATCTGCCCCAGCTGCAGTAAAACATGTCTCTCCCCTTTCAGTCCCTGCAGCTACAGCAGGCTCTGTAATTCTCTGCAAAGCGCATTCCTCCCATTGTCTTCCAAGACAGAAGGATGCCAACCAAGTCCCAAATGTGTTCAGTTGGGCTTCTGTTCTGGCAAGGGTTTTTTGTTTGTTTGTTTTGAGCAGGAACGCAAGGGAACTCAGTTCCCTTACCTTTTAAAAATCAAATTATATTATTATTATTATTATTATTATTATTATTATTTTGCTGGGGAGGACTGGAATGGTTATACAGTGGTACCTCAGGTTATATACACTTCAGGTTACAGACTCCGCTAACCCAGAAATAGTGCTTCAGGTTAAGGACTTTGCTTCAGGGTGAGAACAGAAATCGTGCTCTGGTGGCGCGGCAGCAGCAGGAGGCCCCATTAGCTAAAGTGGTGCTTCAGGTTAAGAACAGTTTCAGGTTAAGAACGGACCTCCAGAACAAATTAAGTACTTAACCTGAGGTACCACTGTACACACAATTCCTAAGCCAAAAATTCACCTATATCAGTAATCAATAAAGTTGTGGCCATTTCTAATCCAGATAGTTGTCTGCTTGAGTTTATTAATCACATCTTACATTTAGCCTCTCTCACTCCCTCCCTCCCTCTCTCTCTCTCTCTCTCTCTGTGTGTGTGTGTGTGTCACTGCGACTGGGCCCACAATACACAAACTAACACTAACTTCGTGGTGAGTTTCCCCCTTTTCCCAGAAAAAAACAACCTGTGTTCTAGTACGGTTTTGGATTACAGTCTTAAGGATCTGCCTAACCATCCACTATCAAAGTCAATGTCCTTGGCTTTTTCTTGGTGGGGTGGAAGAAGCCCAGCTTAAGGATCACTTTCAGTGCAGTTAAAAAGATATGGATGCTGTCTGGGGAATCTGCAAACCTCTTCAAATAGATAAGGAGCACCCTCTAGTGGCACTTAAGAACTGAGCTGTGTGCACAAAATAGTTTCTGATAAAGAAGGCTGTTACTCAAAGTAAGTAGCCTTGCATAAACCATTTCCTCAAATATATTCAGCATATGAAGACCAAAAACATAGATAAACACAGTACCATACCCTGAAAGAAAGCGCTACAGAAAAATGCCAGTTGCCATTTAAATGTTAAATCTACTTAGGAAACAGTGGCCTCTATTGGAAAAACAATGTAAGTAGTAGTAGCCTGAGATCTGCAAAACCTCTGCAAAAGGCATGTCAACATCTCATCCATCAAACATCAGGAGGCAAAGCAGAGACACACAACTTGTGGAAGTTATTGTTATTATTATTAAATGTATTTAATAAAAGAGGGAGCCCAGAGGGAAGAGGTTAGGGACCCCTGAGAAGGAGGACAGCTGCCCTTCACCCAGCTGGTGACCAGATCTTCTCACCGGGAGGAGGAGGGAAGGGGGTGGGCAGGACACTCCCAGAATGCCTTGCAGCCCTGCCAGACCTCGGTGGCTGAGACTGCCCCCCCCCCCATCATGGGAGACACCCCCATGCTGCAGCAACACCAGCAACTCACCAGAAACCATTGTCCTCCTTCGACTCTTGCTCCTGAGGGTCATCGGAGGGGAGACGAAATCAGCTTGGATCAGTGGCCTAAAAATGAGGGACAGAAACATCCATCAGTGGGCGTGGGGGGCATTAACCCTTCACCACCCCAAGCCCAGATGGGACCTCTTATGGTATATGCATGCTTTTAACCACTTTGTTTTATCCTATCTTTGTAGATTAAGTTTTAAAAGTTGTTCCTATAAGTCAGTTTAAGACTTCAGTTGTAAGCTTTGCCGAATAGAAGGCATCAGCCCTGACGATATGGAAGAGTTCAAGGCTTAATGACTGCAGAGCAACCAGGACAGGACCATGGCATCCGCATGTGTTTGTGTTGTGTGCGCATGCACAGTGTAGGGCATAGCTGTCAACTTACAGATTTGAAAATAAGGGACCAGCAGCCTCAAAAATAAGGGATCAGCAGCCAAAATAAGGGATTTTAGACAACCAGCTCCTTTCCTTTCCTCCATAACAGTCAGTCGAAGGAGCCTCCAAAACAAATCCAAAATCCCCCCCCCAAGAGATCGCCGCCCACCATTGTACTCAACCAGCTCCTTTCCTTTCCCCCCACCATGTGCCCCCGCTCCAGACAGACCTTTTCCCCGGCAAGGGTGAGTGGGCCGTCGATGACGTATCCATCCGATTCCGAGCACAGGTATGTTCAACTTCTGAGCCCCTCCGAGCCAAAGGCAGAAAGCCCTGCCAGCAGCCAAACGAAGCCTCAAACGGTGGTTCCCATAGCGCGGCAACCCGGCAAAGGGGATGCAGCAAGGACAACCATCGTCACCTCTCCGCTGGGAAGCGCTGAGCAAAGGCGAGTCCCCAGGCAACACGGACGATTTGATCGGCACAAGGCATGCAAGCTCCACCCCCCGTCGTTCTTAGACTCCTTATTGGGTGAGCAACACAGCCAAGCAACAAAGTTGGAGCCTCCCTCCTCCCTGCCAGGGAGGGGGGAGGGAGAGGAGCTGCTTCCTTTGAAACCCGGGAAATTTAAGGGACATCATCAATAAGGAACAGCAGCGGGACATGGCGCTGGGATAAGGGACTTTCCCGCCAAATAAGGGACGGTTGACAGCTATGACAGTGTAGGGATGCTACTTGCTGAAGGTACAACTGAAATATGAAGGGGAGAGGGGAACAATGGGGCTTAAAAGGGAGACCCCTGCCTTCTTTCAGAAGCATTTCAACTGCAGACACCGACTCTTCGGCTTCAGGAACACTATGAGATCTTTCAGAAGCAGGGCGTTCAGGCCTAACACAGAGACAGACAGACAGACAGAGTGGGGGATTGTTGCTCACCCGCTCCACTTATCCTGAGGAGAACATCTAGGTGCCAGGCTGCAGAACCAGGTCAAAGGCCCAGCAAGTCAGAGAGACAAAGGAGGCTGGACCAAATCAGGCCCTTGAGCCCATCTAGCTCTGCCTGGCCATAATGGCTCTCCAGGGTCCCAGGCAGGGAGTCTTCCCCTCAGCCCTACCTGGAGATGCCACTGAAGCTGGGACCTTCCGCATGCCAAGCAGGTGTTCTGCCATGGAGCTACAAAGGCCCTTCTTCCAGCCAAACACGGTCTCTCTGGGAGAGTTGTGATCTGTGGCTTGTTGTATGGGAGCTCTAGCTACCCATGAAAGTTGGATGCTTCGACAGCTAAGGTTCTACTATGTTTTAGGGATTGTGTTCTAAAACTGCTTGGTTCTCTTAATCTTTTCGAAAGCTGCCCAGTGACCTTTGCTTGATCTGTCTAGCTCAGCCCTGTCTCCTCTTGCTAGACCACCACATTCATCCCAGATGTACAATTTCACCAATTTTGCCGTCAAAGGAACTAGAAAAAGGCACGGAAGAAGTATTGGCTCCCACTGACTGTCGACTGAGGCCAGACATCAGACACATGGAGAATGGAGAAATTGATCTGGCTAGCAAAGAGAAAGAGAGACTAGAAGAGGAGCAGAGAGCTGCTTGTAAGGAACGTGCAGAAGATGAAGCCGAATGGAGAACAAGATGGTTTCATCAGGGCGCCAATCCATACCTTGGGATTCCTGACTGGTTATACTCAGGAGGGTACTTTGACAGAAACTTCTTTGACTGTCCAGATATATGCTGAAATCTTGAATGCAGTTGCTCCTTTGCCCAGGTTTGGCAGACTTTACTCCAGTGACTCTGGCACCACCATGACCAGAAACCATCCTTTTTCTAAAGCTACATTTTAATGAAAATTATCAGTCATCGGTGAAGGAATTGTCACAGTTTTGATTACCAAACTGTCTCTCGCTGGCAGAGCAGTGGCTCTCCAGGGCTTTTAGACTCCAGAGTCTTTCTGCCACAAAGCCACAACCCCTCCCATTTTCGATTCCTGTTTTAATAGAAAAGGAGGGGGGTCTAAGTGGCAAAGCCAACTGCAGAGGAAGAGCGCATGCCCCTCCACTCTGAGTGGCCTGTGCCACGTATGTGTGTGTGTCTTGGCAGAAGAGGGTGTTTCTTTCATGTGCCCACAGCCTTCTTCTTGCTGATGCACAGATGCAAAGGCCCCTCCTGGATGAGTTGGGGCTCCCTCAGGTCAAGGTGCTGCACAGCAGGGGCAGAAAAAGGCAGCATTTCACAGAGGGGAAGAGCAGGACAAGGCCAGTGTTATGTACTGAGTTGAATAGGATCCAAATTGCAGCAGTCTGATTGGTCCTAGAACAGGAGGATTCAGAATGCAGCACTCTGATTGGTCCGCAGGAGCCACCCAATCCAACTTCAGGTGGAAGTGAAGTCGCAACCTGATTGGCCTACAGGAGAATCCCAGAATTAGCCAATCATGTGGCACCCATTGTGTAAATAATGTATATAAAGCAGACATTTCGGGAGAACTTCCATTCCTCACTACTATGAGCTGAATAAAGAGCATGAAATCCACACTCGACTCCAAGTATATTTCAGGGATTGGAGGGGAGGGCAAAGGGGAGGCCCTACCTGGAAATGCCTGGCCAGTGGGTGACCGTTCTTCCACAGAGACCTGGCATCCAGGCACTTTTGGTAGGCAGCCAGCTGCTGGTGGTACTCTGCCTGCCTCAGCTCCTCCTTCAAGGAACTCCTTACACTCCTTGCATGCCAGGCAAAGGCACTGGTGCTCACAAATTGACTCTGAGCAAGGAAGGTGCAGAGAGAGAGAGAGAGAGAGAGAGAGAGAGAGAGAGAGAGAGAGAGAGAGGCATAGAGGCTGCCTGCAAAGTTGGTTTCATTTTATTAGCTTGAAACCCAACGCAGATCCCAGCACAAACTAGGAACACGGCTGCATTGAAAAGCAAATAGGTCTGAAAGGCAGATGAGCAGCAGCAGCCCAGATGCATGAGGCAAAGGGATCCTTGTTTGCTGATATTAAAGTGAGCTGCTGAACAACACCTATGCCCTGCAGACACAGCCCCACAGGGCACTAATTCAAGCAGACGGGGTTGTAGAAACACAGGACATCATCTCTCCCCCCACCATCACCCTCTTGGGCGCTGGCTTTCCCCAGTAAGGCAGGCTCAATGCAGCTCACAACCTCCCAGAGTTAGGAAGCATATCAACATGGAATCATGGAGAGGCACAGCTCTCCTGGGACACCTTCCCCACCACACAAATATATGGAGAAGGAGGAAGAGGGTGCTGGGTGATATTATTCAGCAGCAGAGGGTAACTGGCCGGGCGCTGCATCTTGCAGTCCAGGAAATTGGTCAGCCGGTGGTGGTGGCATTCGGAGTCAGCAGACAACAAAATGGATGAGACTTAACTGAGAGTTGAATCGAACAGGAACTGAACTGAACCAAATGGCTGTGTGACTCTGCTTTTATAGAGTCACACTCATCTGCTGAATAACTTACAGCAGGGACAGGAAGTTACACACCCACACACCCGTCTCTGTCCACTCTAGGAAGTAAAGCATGTTGCAACTGACTGCACTGATGTAACACATCCCACTACAACAACACTGTGAGGTAGGTTAGACTTAGAGGCAGCAACTGGCTGCCACCTCCATCCTCCCCTGACCAAGGCAGTGGATGCCTCTGAATAATCCCCATTCCTGGGGGGCATTGTTCTTGCGCTCCTGCCCTGCTGCTAGTGGGCCCCCCTGAAAACAGGCTGCAAGACTGGCTGGGTCCCTTGGGTCTGATCCTGCTGCAGAGCTCTTTGGGTGCTGTGCTCCGATTTTTGGCCTTTCTCCCTCTGCTCCTGACCCGCCCAGGAAGAAGCGGAGGCCTGGGCCAGCCACAGAATGGGGACAGGTCTGGAGGGGAAGCAGACTTACTGTGGATCTTGAGCAATTCTTGTAGGTTGGGGAAAATGAGGGCCAGCTCCTCCTGTTAAAGGAGTTTCTATTTATACATCCATTGGTAAAACAGGACCACCAGACTATGCAGCGAGTGTAGGTGGGAGGCCTCCGTCATAAACAGCTCTGTGCAAAGAGGGCAGAAGAAGAAGAACATCAGGTTGAGGCTGAATCCTAGCAGGGTCTGGAAAAGAGGCAGCTGAAGTGGGTTGTTCTTTCAAAAAAGACTTGGGCTCTGCCTTACAAGGAGAGATGGATCCTGCTCTCCTCCTGAACTGGGAGCAAAGCCCAGAGTGGCCACTGGTGGGGCGCCAAGGAGCTGCCTTGTCCAGATAGACCTGGCCCAAAGTGACCTCCATGGCAGGTGGCTCTCCAGTGCCTCAAGCAGGGGTCTCTCCTTCCCAGGCCTTCCTGGAGATGCTACTGCACTTGGGGTTCATGCAGGCAAGGGAAGAGCTATGGCCACTCACCAGCCTAGATACCAGGAAGCACCCAATGGCTCTGCTGGTTTTAGGGTGGCGTGACTGGTGTGGCTGCACTGGGTGCCACACTGCAGCGGGTGCCGAAACAATGCTTTGGAACAGAGCACAAGTGGTGGCAGTGGACGGCGGGGGAGGGGGGGGAGTTGCACAGGGTGGCACTGGAATTTGAGAGCCCAAAGTCCACCACTGCCATTCTGGGTCTTGTTTGGAGAAAAATTCTCTCCTGGCCATTTTCAAGAACTCAAAAGTTCCAGGCTACCCTTGGGAGGGAGAAGGAAGGAGATTCTGGCTCTTCTGTGGAAGAAGGGAGAAGCAGGGGTCTCAAGTCTGTGCTATAGGTCTCCAGCCCTTGATTTGGGGGCTCTCTTGGGGTTCAGCATTTTAACAGAGGAAGAATGAAGACATGTATTTCCCATTGCATCACTGATAGCTGAACACTTTCAGTTGGAGTGGGGGGGTATTTATGTATGCTACTACTGTGGCCTGTGCTTCGTTAGCCCAAAAATGGAAGACAAGTAAGATCCCTGCTAAAAGTGATGGAATATGTGCAGCTTGCAGACTTAACATATAGAAAAAGAGAACAAGAAGAACATATGTTTTAAAAAGATTGGAAAATGTTTATTGAATATATGGGTTAAAATTGTGTACGTTTCAAAACGTTGGCAACATTAAGATAAATTCAACAGTGTAAATCAGTTTTCATGGATGTAACAATGGAATACTGAATGGTTTAGTTTAAGCACAATATGCAGGTATTTATGGTATGTGAAATGAACCATGGAAAGAGAAGGGAAGTCATTGATATTTTAAGGTTGTTTAAATGAATATTCTAAAATGTAAAACAGAAAAACTTAATAAAAAATTATACCAAAGAAGGGGGGGGAAGGGGAGAAAGGTAAAATAACCATTCATGCGGGGGCATGAATTTTCATAATGTCTCCCCTCTTTCCCATGATTTTACCTTCTGCAAAACCAGCAGCACATTACGCAACAGGTCTGAAAATATCCAGAACAGAAGAAGTGATCTGATCTTCAACCGAGTGGGCTTTCAACTGACCCAGGGATCCTTTCAAACAACTCACCTGGCCTCCTAGGAAACAAAACATTCTGCAGGATTCCACAGCCGGTTGTGAGGTCAGAGCCTGGCCAGGGACTGGAGCCAATGGGCTCTGGGCTCCAGGAACGCTCTCTCTGCCCCGCCCATGTCACCTGGGCAGCTGCCAAGCATCTGGCCCACCCCTGCATTTACCCCCAAGCACCCCTCTGGAGAATCGAAGGAAATAAGGCAGGCCATGACTGATCCAGTTTCTGGCACCTCTTTAAAACTCACCTGTTTGCCCAGGTGTGGCTGGATAGTGGGCCACCATTTGGTCACGGTGTAGTCTAGGTTCTAGGAGGGTGAATGTTCTTTTTTTAAAAATGAGACAGAGAGTTCATTGTATTATGGAACCATCTTCTCTCTCTGGGTGCTCACCCACATTTGCCACCTCTAGGCATCTTTTTAAAAACATGTTTGTGCACCTAGAGGCCTTTCTTGTTGCTTTATTACATTCTTACATGAAAACTCTTTTTTTTTTATCAAGGAACTTGGTATACGATGCAATTCCTCTCTCCAAATGATCTTCACAATAACCTTGTGAGGTAGGCTAGGCTAAAAGCCTGAAACCTGGTCCAAGGTCACCCAGGGAGCTTTATAGCCAAGAGATTTGAACCCTGGACAGCTGGGTCCTAGTCCGGTCTGGACACTGCAGTACATTAACAACATGGATGGCTTTAAAGGAGGATCAGACTGAAGGAGAAGGCAAACCATGGCTACTAGCCATGGCTGCAATACTTTGCCTTCACAATCAGAACTAGTAACGCTTTGGAACAGGGCTGGCCCAAAAAAATTTTGGCACCTGAGGTGAACCATGAATTGGCACCACCCACCCCAACTCGTGGAGGTGATGGTATGGAAAAATTTTCACCTGCTTTTAGCATTCCAATTCTGGTACCAAGGAAGTTTGTGCAAGCTCAGTGTTGTTCTCACCCCCCACCCCCGCCTGCCCAACACTCTCAGGTGTCAGGTTCAAATTCCAGCTTCTTTGTAAAGCTCACATGGTCACTTTGAGCCAATTACAACCTCTCAGCCTAACCCACCTCACCAGATTGTTGTGAGGAAAAAATGTGCAAAGGAAGGGATAATGTGCAATACCTTTATCTCCAACAGATAAATGAAATATTTTTTTAATTTCTAGAGTTGGAAAAAATATCTGAGCCTAGCATGCAAAATCCTAGCCCTTGCATTGCATGGTGCCTTGCAGTCTACGCACATTAATTAATCCTAAATTTAATTTTACAAAGACCCAGGGAAGGCAGCAAAGTCTGCCATCCTTTACACACTCACCTGTGAGTAAGCCCAACTGAGCAGAGTGTGACTGACTTCTGAGTAAGCATGCATAGGTTTCTGCTGCAAATCCTATAGACTGACACGAAGCAACCAAGCAGAGCAAGCACAGAAAGGAGAAGTTAAAAATCAGCACCAAGCAATCAAAAACAATTTTTAAAAATAAAAATGCCTCTTTAAAGACAAATACTTGTGCCATCCCCAAATCCCCAGTGTGAGGCATGAGTCAGAAAAAATGAAATGCATTCATAGAGGCTCCTCACGAGGCTGGAGGAACATCGCCTGGCTGTGGGGCGTGAAGGCTGCTCCCTGCAAGGCCCTTTCCACCTGGCCTAGGGGGTGAGGCCCAGACTCACCAGCCCCACTGAAGAGGCTCCTCATGAGGCTGGAGGAAGACAAACTTTCCCTTTGCTATGCTTCTCTCCTGCTATTAAAAGCAAGCAGCATATTATTATTAAATGGCCTTGGTCCAGTATCTCTGAAGGAGCGTCTCCACCCCCATCGTTCTGCCCGGACACTGAGGTCCAGCGCCGAGGGCCATCTGGCGGTTCCCTCACTGCGAGAAGCCAAGTTACAGGGAACCAGGCAGAGGGCCTTCTCGGTGGTGGCACCCACCCTGTGGAACGCCCTCCCACCAGATGTCAAAGAGAACAACAACTACCAGACTTTTAGAAGACATCTGAAGGCAGCCCTGTTTAGGGAAGCTTTTAATGTTTGATGTATTACTGTATTTTAATATTTGGTTGGAAGCCGCCCAGAGTGGCTGGGGAAGCCCAGCCAGCTGGGCAGGGTATAAATAAATTATTATTATTGGCTTGCAGCAGCACATGATAAGAAGCAGGCTGTATTCTCTAGCAGTCTAGCTGACTGATTTGGGGCAAGGGTGGTCATCTTGAGGTAGTGAAGGCATGTGACGGCTTCCCAGCTTCTCCTTTCTCTTCTTTTGACAAAGGGGGGAACAAGACAGTATATGATTTTGGGTGGCAATTGGCGGCCACCTTTTTTTGAAGCCACAGGAACCACCAGTTATGATAGCCAATATTCTGGCTAACCAGGGAAATGGGGATTGACAGCAGCCCGCCCAAAGGAATCACAGCATCCACAACCAGTTTCTGGGCCAGGAGGAAACACTAGATGTGAATGGTAGCAGACACACATTGCTTCCAGTTTGAAGTACTGCTACCTCACCTTAGAGACCTGGTTGAAATGCTACACAGCTGTTGGGACCTGGTTTAAACTGGCAGGCACCTAAGTCCTTCACCAGTTATAGCCCATTGGGGTTTTCCTTCCTATAGCTAGGAGGAAGGATGTACAATCAACACAACATTCAGTGCTAAACCAATCTAATTAACAATTGACTATTGTATTTTATTGAGTTAATGTGGAGCGGAGAAAGCATGGATTCCTCTTCAAAGCAAGCATGTGCACCATTTGCATGAACCTTACAGAAGGGTGTTTTCCGCTTCCCGGTGTCCACAAAACACAGCTACTTCTGCTATTGGAAGTGAAGCCAAGGGGCACACCCAGATAGTCGTCTAGATTTAACATGTAAATGACAACACATTTACCCACAAGAGGTCAAACCCGATTATATTCATAAAGATGCAACATCAGTGACATTTCCTGAGTTCATTTGCCAGGGGAACCAGAGAAACCAAGCTGAAGTTTTGCAGTGTGTTATCATTTCATCTCACAAGATATGCAGCTTGAATGTCATAAAACTTCAAAGTGGTTTTAAAAAAGAATAAAACAATAAATCTACCAGTAGGTAAAAACAACTATTTAAAACATTTTAAAATAATAATTAAAACCAATGAAACTAAAAACCAAATCAAAATATACTTGTCTAGTATTCTTAGCGAAAACTCAATGCCAAAGTCACAGGAGTTATATTTTTTGATAGAAAGCCAAAGAATGTTCCCTTGAAGAGATTTACTGATTTGCCAAGTGTATTCGTTCACAGAATAGAACTCTCAAAAACCTTCCCAGTCAGAAACAGGTCACTATCCAGCTTTCTCAAAGTATCTGGTTAACATGTTATAGCAGTGATCCCCTCCATTACAAGGTGGAATTTATTCCGACAAATTTAAACAAGTCTGTTTCCCTTGCTCTTTCAGAGTACTATCCTATCCGTTTTTGTAAAAGGTTGCATAACCAAAGCCCGATACATTATGCACATGTCTTCCAAAGTAAGTCACTTTCAAGGTCATGCAGAAATCAGCAGAGCCTAATACCACTTTTTTACATGCAGTAGTTCCTATCAGTCTTCAGCTAGTACATTCCTTTAGGTAGAACTATGTCATAGGTTTACGAGACACTTCAAGCAATGAATGCTGTTAGGCTCTAAACTGTGCATTCATCTTAGACCCCATGTGCAAGTAGGGACCATTTTCTTAACGTTTTAGCATATGGTGGTTTTACTGCTAGTCACCCCCCACCCCACCGTAGGTCAGGTTATGATCTGGTAGTGGTCATGCACAACAGCTGAAGCTACAATAATTAACAGTAGCTAGCTACTAATAAGTGGATGTGGGTGGCGCTGTGGGTAAAACCACAGTGCCTAGGACTTGCTGATTGCATGGTCGGCGGTTCGAATCCCCGCGGCGGGGTGAGCTCCCGTCGTTCAGTCCCAGCTCCTGCCCACCTAGCAGTTCGAAAGCACCCTTAAGTGCAATTAGATAAATAGGTACCGCTTTATAGCGGGAAGGTAAACGGCGTTTCCGTGTGCTGCGCTGGTGCTGGCTCGCCAGCTGCAGCTTCGTCACGCTGGCCACGTGACCCAGAAGTGTCTTCAGACGGCACCAGCTCACGGCCTCTTGAGCTAGATTAGCACGCAACCCTAGAGTCGGACACGACTGGCCCGTACGGGCAGGGGTACCTTTACCTTTACCTTTTAGCTACTAATAAACTCCTTGAATCTACTTCAGCTTGAAATCAGTTCTTCCAAGACTTCCTCTTCATTTTCATTCCGGCTCACGGCAACAAGTGTGTGAATAACCCAGACTGAAAATAACAAAGGGGCTTCATGCAGCCTGGAGAACGAACTGAGCCATGCTGTGAAATGGCCTTGTGAGAGCAGAAATTGTCAGTATTCTTGCAGAGGTTGTAGTATAAATGCCGACAGCTGCCTAATAGTTTGCTGTCAGCTAAACCTAGAATGGTCACATGGACGTCCACATTTTTCTGATCAGGCTGAGAGTGGCACCCACCAGAGCTAGTAGCATTTGGGAATAATCTCAAAACCCCTTTGTGCCTTCAGACCCTGAGGAATAGGATTCACTGTGTTGATCCTGAATTCCAAGCCAACTTCATCTACTTCTCCTGCCAGATTGATAGTTTGCAAAAGTGGGTAGATAGAGCACCAGCACTTACTTCAGCATGAATTCAAGCTTACCAACATACATTCATGGATGCTGGGAAGTTATGCCTTTGCACATGAGTCTGAGAATGTACAGTTCACATTGAGTTCATGAAACATCACACCCTGACCTGTTCTTAATGCATTGTTGACCACGTCTACGGAATGCGATGGTTATGTTCTTTCACGTCATGCAATATCAATCATTAAGTAATTGTTTATTATCAATCACTAGTAATAGTTTAACAAGGAGGATTTCACGCCTGTCCAATTCTGTGTTCCCTTTCCCAACCTTTAATCTATTGATGATTAATGCCTATATTCAACCTTTGCATTGTATTTGTGTTAACCAATCAGCAACAAGCACATATGTGGTAATGCTGTAATATTCAATAAAAGAGACTCGCCGAGACCTGCTCGGTAGATGCCTCCCATATGACACTTGCCATTCGTCTGTCGTTTATTTCAACCCAACACATGAGAACTTATGTTTTGTGTCTTCCAAGTTCAGGTAAGGCCTATATGACAGGTTTAGAGAGATACCAGCAGTTGATTGAATTCTCCAGAAGCTATCTGAATATGATCTGGAATTCCACAATATACTGTAGGCTCTCCAAGAATCCTTGTTAATTCTCAGCATTCAAGCACCGAATTCTTCATAACACATATGATTCTCCTAACCTGAAGCTAGGAAGGAGTATCTCCCTGATAAAGCAGCAGCAGCTGACACTACTACAAAAACATTCAACAGAATTTCCACTGCCAGAGGCCAGGATTAAGGATGATAAACTACATTTTTACCCAATACAGTCTGTTATGTAATCTTTGGCAACGCTTACAGTCAAAGTATATTTAAATGTGTTTGTGTTGGCTGTTTTCTTCTCAGATTTTACTTCGTTTACCAGGCAGTCAAGAAGCTACTAACATGCTTATGATTCACTGAAGGCTCTTGTTTAATGCATCCAAAGCAATCAGGAGTTTTAAGATAAGAGACGTTTTTATTTAAGCTGCAACACACATGGTTTTAATACAACATTTAAATCAGGTGAAAAGTAAAACACTGAACTATCAGCAGTAGAACATTTCCATTGGAAATGTGTTAAAATTCTCAAGGATCTCGTGTTACCATCTTACTGCAGTTTTCTTATGTGTTTCTAGCCTACACTCCATATGTTTTCTGTAGTCATGCAAAAGCAAATAAGATTTCGAATGGGAAGTCCATCGACTGCAAAGAATCATTTTCCACAGAGTAGCCAGCTTAGGTAAGAACAAAACCTGCAGAAGTTCTTCATGTAAACACACACATTTTAGAAGCCATGAACTTTCAGCTGCTCCTCCTTGACAATGCCAACCTGCAGAAGAGAAGGAGATGGCAGTAAGCCCCCAGCAGTTAGAACCTGAAAGTCCAACACAAAAATGAAGTTACACACTTGTCAATCCCAAGGCAGATGGAGAAAGAGTTAACATACAGATGAAACTGTACCAATGTACAATTGGGGGGGGGGGGGAGAGACTCTTTTCGGTCTGAGGTGTGCCATCCTGGTGTGCAACTGTCTATGGGTTGCAAGCCAGAATCAAAAATGAGTGGACCAATGGTGGTGAATCTTACCTCTGTTATAGTTGGCTACATGAGAGCCATGGGTAGGGGGAAATCAGACACACACATTCTATCCAATGAAGAATTATTACTGTTCAAGGACTTGTTTCAGGCAGGCTAAAGCACTCAAGGAGGGAGTGGAGCAACTCCTGGTACATAGCGTGGACTCAGGGAGTGAGTTTGGCCTTGGGAGAGTCCCGAGGGCTGAAGAGAGAAGCCTGGAAGAACACATCTGCTCCCTGGACCAGTGCCCCCTATTGTACAAGAGGATCTACAGCAGCCATTCTTTTAGGTTACATTCAGATAAGTGCCAAGCAGTGCGTTATGCAATTAATTACGTTAATTTCTTGTGATAAAATCCAGCTGCTCAAATATACATCTCTGACTGCCGAAGTCAGGCCTGTTGCACTCCTCCCCGCTTGCCGCCAGTATGACTCAGCTCACCCCTTTTAGTCCAGGCAGCAATATGGCTCACAGCTAGGGGTAGTGACTCACTCAACCCTGCCATGTTATGTTACATTCAGAGTCAAAAGAGTCTCGCTTAAATAGGCTTCCGAGTGCATTTTAACATTTGAGCAAGCAGCCTGAGCTGACTGACCTCTAGGAGGAATTGGCAAATGTTCTTCCTCTGGTCCCCTTGCAACTGGATCACTTCCCCGTATTCAGGATGCTCAATCACAGTACCATTACAGGCAAATTTCTACAAAGAAAGGTTTAATGCTTTTAAAAACCCAGTTGCAAATTATGTTTAGATCACTTTCAGAAGAGAACCAAAATCCATTATTTTGGTTATTATTTTTTTCCTTCAGAAGACATGCTCCAAAGGTTTTGCTAGCAAATGAGATATATGCTTTTCTAGTGATGGATTTTGGCCGAAGTTCCTAGATGCTTGGAGCTTAGAATTGCAGAGCTCAGCAATGCCTAAATCAACTGCAGGAGTTAAATCAATGTCCTGGCCCAACTTCACATTTCCCCCTACAACCTGACCACCACAAACTAGATGAGTACACTATGTTTTGCTCCACTCCACACCCAACCTCAGATATCTTCCCGTATCACCTCCCAGGGTTTTTCCTCTTTGCTCCAGGCTTGTCTCCCAACTGTTTTTACTACTGTTCTAGAAATATAGAACTAAATATTCAAAATAGAACTCGATGTAAAAATATCAATTCCTCCTCCGCAACACAATTGGCATTGTCAAAAACAGGCAACACGGTACTGAGCTATTTGTTCCCGGAACAACTTTCTGGTTACCTTTTGCAGCAATATATCTCCTTATGTGGCTTTTAAGTCATTTTAAAGGGTCTGGATCCATTCCTAGACAGTGACAATTGTAGAAAAGAGCATGAAAGCTGGTTATTGCAACTAAATTGACCAGCACACTGCTCAAACATTAATTTTTTTTCAGTTAAGACTGGCTGCCCCTGTCAGTGCATTCAACATCTGAAATGGTCTTATACTGGAAAGCTGTCTCAACCAGAACATTTAACACGCCTGTTGCAGCATTTGATCTTTCACTTCCCCACTGGAAATTGTTAATTTACATGCATTTCTCTTTCAAGCACAAAAACTTCAGGACCTAGGAGAAGAACAGCGCTACCTTTTTGAAGGCTTTCACAAGCTTCTTTTTGTCATAGTCATCTGCAATTCCCTGAACAGTAGTTAGTGTCTTTCTGCCGTTTCGTTGCTGGATCCTTATATGAATGTAGTCTTCAGTCCCTGCCGGGAGTAAGTCGTCACCCTTAGTTGCATCAGCAAAGGGGTCTGGAGGGGTGAAAAGTCCACACGAGTTAGTCTGATGCAAACCTTCAAGTTCCTACATATTTTGAATGTCTTTTCCAAATGGTAGATAAAACATACTTCTTAGTATTCTAAACTACTTAATCCAGGCAGCAGCAATTCTTTACCATGTCAATACAAACATGATCGTGATATATTGTCACATATGGTAATTTCTGCATATCTGTGGGTGTTGTCTGCGCTCTAAGGCCCATACCTGGGCCCTTTTTCTCATTCTCTACTACAGACTAACCCAGTCTTCATCTCACCTTGAGAACTTGCTCAAACACTAACCAGGAATACTCTAACACAAATGTATTCAGGACTGACTACTAACTGTGGGGAGAAAAACATACCAGCAACCATAAGTAGTCTGATATTCCATTAGGCACCCTGGTAGTGACAAGGTTTTTATTTTAGCCTTTGTCCGCTAGTGCTCCCAAACCCACCAATTCCTCCAAACAATGTTTCACTGCTTGCCTGCTACTAAAATAGAAGCTCTTTTCCACCTATGCCTTGTTTGAGGCTCAATCTGAGGAAGATCAGTTCCCTGCTTTTAGGCCAACCAGCTACCCGGATGAGGAAAAGGTCAATCTACCTTCAAAGAACTCCTTCCACAGCAGTCTGCCATGCAACTCCTGTGCATTGTAGAGGGGAGATTCTGGGGCCACTTCCAAGGTACACTGTCGGTTCACACCAGGCACTGGAGAGGCCTGTTGGGCTTACCCATTGACACATAGGAGCCCCCCTGCAGCTGCACAATGAACCTAGAGGTAATGCTTTGGCAAGTTAACAAGGGGAGGCAAGGGCAAGTCCAATATAAACACTGGGTACAAGCTGTACAATGAGGGAAGGCAGAGAATTCCAAATGGCCCTAGCATTCAAATCGTATTGCATGAATGAGGAAACTGTGGCCCTATGAGCATCGTTGGCTCCAACTCCCATCAGGCTACTTCTGCGTCACTGCAAAAGTTACAACAACTTGTTCACAAAGTCCAATATGTCAAAGGCTAGTTCTGAGAGGCTACAAGCCTGTGACACACTTCTGGCTGTAGGGAGGGCTGGAGCACCTTATTGTCTTTCGTGTTTTTATTCTGAATGAGGAGCAACGAGTCATATGACCTCCCTCCCTGCAGTCGGAGCTTAGACAAAGGTTGACTACCTCCGTGAACTCCTTAAAATGGTGCTGTGTTCTGTGAAGCAGAAAGTGGGTTATGGGAGAATACGGCACAATTTTAGCTTAAAGAATCTTCCACTGCTCCCTTAGCTGCAGAGACCAAGCCTACAAAATCTGCACTCCTTCATAGCTACTTGTCATTCCCCAACTGAAAGTCCAAGTGGAGCCGCACTGAAAAACCATTATCAATTTTCCACCTTTCCCTCCTTTACCAATTGACAAATTCTAAAGTCCTATCCAATTCAGGCATAAACCTCTACGAATGAAAACGTCTTCAAAAAGCTGTTTTCAACAGATCAGGGAGTTTATTCGTGGCAAGGTGGATGTATCTGTGTTCAATACAAATCAAGGAGTGCAATTTTAGAACTGATGGCTACGGCAAAGATGATAAAATGAAGGCTCTTTGCATAGAAAGAGGAATATCACAAAATACAATTCCCTGATAAATTCCCTGGATAGAGGAGAAATTCACCTCAAGACTGGTAGGAGAAAATGGAGAGACTGAGGTACAAAAGCTTTGCCTAGGCCAGGGGGTGGGGGGAGATGTTGCTGGACTCCCATCTCTCATTAGCTTGTCCAGCATGACCTGGGATGATGGGCGCTGTAATCCATCAACATCTGGGGGGGGGGGGAGACAGGTTCCACACCCCCTAAGCCTAGACTGGAGAGGGGGGGAATCACTTGACTGAATGCTCCTCAGGAGAATAATGTCAAATAGGCACAGAGTCATTGATCCCTCAAAAAAGAACATGCGACAAGGCAGCTCTCCCCCCGCCCCCCCCAAAATACAAGTATTAAGTTAGCAAATGAAAGGAGAAGGAAGGTTTCTCAGTTATTATAGCACTGAGAACTGCAGGAATGAACTGCAGGGCTGGTGATCTCAGCTGCCCAGACAGCTTGCAAGATGTCAAGTGGGTAGAGCAAGCCAAATTCCTGAACCGCAATGCTGGGGAGGGGGGCAGGGGGTTCCTTGAGGCAAAGGGGTCCCTCTGCCCAGTCCTTCTGCTGGCAACGAAACTCTGCTGCAGGTGAGGAAGTCCCAGGAGCAAGGGGCACCCTAATGTGTCACTCAAACAGCAAGTCAAGTCGGTGGAAGCTACCACTGATGTTACATTCCTGCTGTTGATAGCTAGCAGAACACACACCTCCCTAAAAGAAAAAGAAACAAGAGAAGAGCTTGCTGGTACAAAATCCACTGGATCCAGAGTTGGCCCTTCTGCCATCATGTGACAGCAACAGACCCAGTTTGGGCCTCTTCCCATTACCAACAAGGGTTCCCTGCCCCAGCTTCAGGGCAAGCAGAAGAGCTGAGGATGCAAGACTTGCTACTACTCCACTAACCCCACCCTTGCTGGCCAGGAGGTTGCATTTTATCCCAATTCTGAAATACGCTGTTAGTACAGCTTTATGTCAACAACTGGCAATACTAATGTGGAAGGGTCTACAGTAGGCTACAAACCAAATTTGGTCAACACAGTAATAACAAATGGAAATAGCTGGATCGGGTGAGTGAGTGGGTAAGGTCTTGTGCACTAGGCTAGCTAGCTATATAGAGGGTGTTGCACTATATAGAGGGTGTAACTGATTTGTCACAAAGATATCAGTTACGGGAGCAGGAGTTTACTGCTGAAGACATCAGCAAACAAAGTCTTAACAGCGGACTATACAATATGGACCAAGGTTAATAAAGTGGTTTAACCTAGCCCAGTGTTTCCAAAAGCCGAGTCTCCAGCTGTTTCTGGACTACAACTCCCATCATCCCTAGCTAGCAGGTCTGATGGTCGGGGATGATGGGAACTGTAGTCCAAAAACAGCTGGTGACCCAAGTTTGGGGAAACCCACAAGCTACACTGAAAGTCCCAGTTTGCAAAACAGCCGCCAACTAGCAGAACACAGTAGAAGCCTGTTAAAGAGATACCATAATGAATAATAATAATACAAATATTTTATTATTTACACCCAGCCACTCTGGGCAGCTTCCAACAAAATATTAAAATACAAGAGTCCATCAAACATTAAAAGCTTTCCTAAACAATGCTGCCTTCAGATGTCTTCTAAAAGTCCGGTGGTTGTTTTCCTCTTTGACATCTGGTGGGAAGAACTCTGGCCCTCCCATCCACAAAACACACGGCCTCCTGGAAGGCACTTTTAAGCCACTAAACACCCAACATTTTTAGATAGCAGGGGTCAAGCAGAAGTGTCCCGGCCCCATAGCAAGGAATCAACTCTGCGTGAAAGGAGAGAGGGTGAAGGGTGTGGGGGCAAGCGCAGAGGGGGCAAAGGCTGGCACAGCTCACCTTCCCTTTGTCAGACCAGGGGCAGGAAGATACCAAGACCCGTGCCAACAGCAGCAAACCCTTGCAGCTTAACAAAATGGACTGGGCGCAGCGTAGGGAAAGAGGTGTCTCTGCTGGGACCCCCCCCCCCAAAAAAAATCTTGCGCGCTCCATCCATGCACCCATTTATCTCAACCTCCTGGGTGCTGCGCAAAGAGATGCAAAGGCTTTGCCGTTGGGGGGAGAAGAGGATGGCAAGGGGGGGCGGAGGCAAGAGAGGACCCCCTCCTTATGCGCACCCCGTTTGCTGCCAGGATAACGGACACCTGGGAAGGGCATCCCCGAGCCCCATTTCCCTCCACCAAAGACCGAGGGAGCCCGGGGCGGAGGTGGGGCGTCTTCGCTGCCGGGCCTTTGCGCCAGTCCCCGTCCGATCCTGCGCTAGCTTCTTACCGAAGGATTGGAGGTTCTGGATAGTGGACATGCGATTCTGTGGCTGGGCGCTGCTCGGGGGGAAAAGGCCGCGGCTGCGTTGGCCCGGGGCTCCCTCAGGTTCAGCAGCGAGAGGAAGCGGGGGCCGAGAAAGAGAGAGAGAAGAGAGGGAGGGAGGGAGGCAAGCAGCCGGCGAGGCCCGGGCGGCGAGGAAGGCAGGCAGAGCGGACGCGGCGGGACAGAGGAGAAGCGGCGGCAGCAGCAGCAGCTGATCTAACGGCGACGTTCGCTCACAAAATGGCCGCCCGCTCGCCCGGAGCCTCTCCTTCGCCCAAGCGCGGGGCACGTGATTGCAGTGGGATTCGGCCCCCCGCCCCGCGCGGAATGCCGGGAAACGGAGTCCTCTCCGCCAAAGGAGAGCGCGAGGGAGCTCGCAGGAGGGACTACAACTCCCGGCGAGCATGGCGGAAAAGGGTTTTGTTTTTGTTCTGGCGCTCTCCGCCTCCTCCCAACCGCCTTTTTTTGTGTGTGCTTGCCGTCGAATGTCACGTCAGGACGTGTGCAAACGCGTGTTGCGGATGATTATAAATTGATGTGTTATATGTTACATATTATATATAAATTATATTATATTATATATAAATTATACATATTGTAAAATATATTTTCATTAATGATAAATTATTTATATTAATATTAATTAATAAATTATTATTATTATTATCATCATCATACTGCCCTCCATCTGTAGATCTCAGAGGCAGTTCACAAGATGGAAACACAAAATACATCATAAAAACAAAAACAACACAATTTTCCCACTCCCACTCCCCCAAACACATTAAAAAGGGGTATAAGATGTTAATCAGCCCAAGGCCTGGATGAAGAGGAATGTTTTCACCTGCAGCCTAAAAATACATAGTGAAGGCACCAGGCGAACCTCCCTGGGGAAAGCATTCCACACACAGGGGCCACTGCAGAAAAGGCCTTTTCCCGTGTCAGCACCCTCTGGACCTCTCATGGAGGAGGCGCACAAAGAAGGGATCGTAGGATCCAGGTGGGTTCATATAGGGAGAGGCCTTGAGGTATTGTGCAGGTTAAGGCTTTATCGGTCAAAACCGGCACTTGCGATGGGGCCTGGAAACTAATGGGCAGAAAGATGCGCACAAGGCAGTGAGCAAATCCTTGTTTTGCAAACATTATAGGCCAGGCACATCCCTCGCAATAGCATCACATTACTTTGTGCTTATTCCATCCTGATCCCTCAGGACAATGGATTGCATAAGCCTCTCATTACTCCTGACAGAGTCAGGGATACTTCGTAGTGCATGGTACACAGGGTCCTAAAGGTAAAGGTACACCTGACCGTTAGGTCCAGTCGTGGACGACTCTGGGGTTGTAGCGCTCATCTTGCTCTATAGGCTGAGGGAGCCGGCGTTTGTCCGCAGACAGCTTCCAGGTCTTTTGGCCAGCATGATTAAGCCGCTTCTGGCGAACCAGAGCAGCACACGGAAACGCCATTTACCTTCCCGCTGAAGCAGTACCTATTTATCAACTTGCACTTTGACGTGCTTTTGAACTGCTAGGTTGGCAGGAGCAGGGACCGAACAACAGGAGCTCACCCCGTCGCGGGGATTTGAACCACCGACCTTCTGATCGGCAAGCCCTAGGCTCTGTGGTTTAGACCACGGCACCACCCGTGTCCCCTGAAAAGGGTCCTAGGCATTGCCAAAGATTACTTTGTCCTGGGCATTCTCACTGGAGATTGTTTGTGTGTGGCTCATAGTAGGTGGCCAGCGAACTTGTGAAAAGAACAGGAATACTGTAGGTCTAAACCTCCTGAAGCTGCACTGCCTAACTAGGAATCCCGAGCCTGGAAAACACGCTCAGTCCATATAACTTGCGCCTGCCGATCTCAGTTCATAAAATAAAATAACATAGAGTTGGAAGGTGCCATGGGGGGGGGGTCATCTCGTCCAACCCCCTGCAATGCAGGAATCTCAACGCATTTGAAACCATACCAGACCCTGCTTAGCTTTGCAAATGTGGTAGCAGTTTTACTGCTGCACCAGGCCAGGGATTAAAACCCATTCTATCTACATATGCTCAGAGGCACTCTCTTTATTCTCCCTCATTTCTAGTTGGGTTTTTGGTTTTTTAAAAAGGGGGGGAAGAGAGGTGTCAGTATTCATATCTTGGTACAAGCGCTGTGGGTGCCAGCACAAGATGGCTGCTGTGGACAGAAAATAAACAAACAAAAATTGTGGCAATGCTGTATAGTGGTGAGTACACTCGGGGGGGGGCTACTGCTTATTACCGTATTTCACACTTTCAGCTAATAAAACAGCTCTATGGCTTCCTTTAAATGTCTTCTAAAGGTTTAATGTAGAGTTACTTATCTCCTTGGCTCAGGGGGGTCACATAACTTCATACCCACCAACATTTCTCTAATGAAAATAGGGACATCCTACTATACCCAACAACATTTCTCTGATGTCCCAGTTTCCAGGATCAAATTGGAAACTGGGACGGCTTCTGTAAATCTGGGACTGTCCCTGGAAAATAGGGACACTTGGACGGCTGCTGCAGGAGCTGTTGTGTCACTCTGGCTAATGGCTGAGCTGGCCCTATCTGGTCTACTGTTCTGTGTGTCACATCATTTGGGAAGACAGGCGAACTAATGCCAGTGTACCAGAAGAAGCAAAGATCACCAGTGTCAAAGCAATGATTCTTCAACTTCAACTTTGTTGGACTGGTCATATTCGGATGCCTCATTATCGTCTTCCAAAGCAACTACAGTGGTACCTCAGGTTAAGTACTTAATTCGTTCCAGAGGTCCGTTCTTAACCTGAAACTGTTCTTAACCTGAAGCACCTCTTTAGCTAATGGGGCCTCCTGCTGCCGCTGCACCGCCGGAACACGATTTCTGTTCTCATCCTGAAGCAAAGTTCTTAACCCGAGGTAATATTTCTGGGTTAGCGGAGTCTGTAGCCAGAAGCGTATGTAACCTGAAGCGTATGTAACCTGAGGTACCACTGTACTCTATTCCGAACTTAAAAATGGAAAGCATAATGGTGGTTAACAAAAAAGGTTTAAAGACTCTCTCGGGGCAAATCTTAAAAAATGTAATATAAACACCGACAACGGGGAAACACTGGACTGCTCCAGTTGGAGAACAGCCTTTACCAAAGGTGCCATGGGCTTTGAAGATGCTCGAACTCAGGACGAAAGGGAGAAACGTGCTAAGAGGAAGGCATGTTTGGGTGATCAACTCCCGCCCGGAAACCAATGTCCCCACTGTGGGAGGACGTGTGGATCCAAAATTGGCCTCCACAGTCACTCACGGACTCACTGTTAAGACCGTGTTCATGGAAGACAATCTTACTTGGCTACAAGTGATCGCTAAAGAAAGAAAGAAGACTGTTCTGCCCATTAGCCTTAACAGCCCACAGCTCAGTGTCTGCTGTTATTCTTATGTGTTCATAGGCACCTTATATCAACGAGAGAGCTGCAGGCTGCTATCATTCAGTAAGATGGAGTAGCTCCCCCCAGCCCCAGTCTTAATAACCTTGCAGTCTAAACGAAGCTGTCTTGAGCTACTCCAGAGATGAAAGACCCTTCCGGGGTCTTCTGGACTGGAAAGACGTTGAGGAAAAATACACTGCCATTTTCACAAATAAGGGGCTGGCATAAGACGTTAAGACTGCTATTCTGCACGCCTCCTTCCAACGATTAGTCAAGGATCTTCGCATCCAGCATATCCTGCTTTGTCCAGGATGCTCTGATAATCATGGGAAAGGTTATATTGGTCCAGAACAGGCTTGATTTCTTAAAAGAAGTGCTTCATTTCTAAGAGAGTACAGATGATAGAGTTCAAAGCTTCCTGGAAATCATGAGTTTTGACTTGGAAACCTTTAATTCTTCCCTGAGGAGCAGGGGTTTGATTGAAGTGACCCATTTGTGAGCACCAGGCACTCTGCACATTCTCTCTTAAATTATTTGCCTTTTCTGAAGATCCAGAACCCTGATTTAATAAGGTACTGGGGCTTCACTGGGGCTTATAAAATTGAAACTAAGTTATGATGCAAATCTCAAAACATTTCCTTCTGTTTCTTGACGTTGGCAGCCTATCTTGGGAAAGCTGAGAAACTGCCCATCTCGAGAGGGGACAGTTTGTACTTTGAGAATTAACAACTGATCTTTCACACCCTCCAAGTATCCCTATTTTCCAGGGACAGTCCTGGATTTACAGAAACCGTCTGGTTTCTGGTTGGATCCTGGAACCTCCTGCTTTTCCTTAGGACGTTCCTATTTTCTTTGGAGAAATGTTGGAGGGTATGGAGTTATCCGACCCCTGAGCTATCTGGAAGCAGCCCTGTACAGGGAAGTTTCTCAAAGTTTAATTGGCAGAGTATAAATAGTAAAATTATTATTGTTGTTGTTATTACTATTACTATTAAACAGAGCACCTCTATTTTAATCAGAGAAATATTGGAGGGTATGAACTTTCCCTATCTTCTTTACATGTTTGACTCCCAGTCCATGATAAAGCTCTGAAGGTTATACTGCTGAGTCTGTGCACTAGGTGGTGCTCATCTATCAAAAATCATTTAAAAAAAATCTTTAAATGTGCTTCCTCTGAACCCGGAGAATTTGTGTTTGTGTGTGTGCCTGAGTCCCCCAATTCACATGCAAAAAACCGTTAATTATGCTCTGCTAAATTTATGTGATGATTTGCCTATCCCTCATAACTAAACAGTAAACTGGGGGGCAGTTTAATGTAAATCGGAATAATTTACTGCTTTGTTCCCCAAAACTAGTTGACAATCCAAGCAGTTGCTTTCTTTTCTAAACAGCAAATTATGGTAGAATGAGCAAAGTTTAAAGCAGAGGCTGGAAGAGACATCACAGTAGTGAATTTTCTGCATCGGCAGGGAATTGTACCAGATGACCTTTGAGATGTTTTCCACCTCTACGATTCTACGGCTCCCAGTGTGAAAACACGTCTTGCAAACAATGCTGTAAAAAGTAAGGCAACTGAATATATAAAATGATGAGACAAGCCTCTCTTGGGAAAGGACACTACAAACCACCCAGTGTTGGATTATGACTCTGCTGCAGATCCAGCTGTCCTCCTTTAGCAACACAGTTCCTTTTCCTCCAAGTAAGAGTAGCTTTCCTCTTTGTTCTTCGCATTTGGCAGAGGAGTATTTATTTACTGGAGAGTCACAAAATTGTGTCGAACTTTCACGTTCTCCAGAACTCTTCATCGGTCAAGATGATACAAAAAGCAGGCATTGGTGAGACGAGGAATTTTTAATTTTTAAAAAATATATAGAATAGGTTGGATGTTGTAACCTTGAGGTCAGCTGGTAGGGTAACTACAGGGGGAAATGGTATTACTTTGTGGTGGAGAAACTATGTAGGTTTTGCTTTATGCACACATATGACGTTGTTATAAAGACAGCTGACCGTTTCTTTGGGTTGTATTCAAAGTAGTGCTAAGGGGAGGGTTCCATCAGCACGACTGCATAATTCAACTTTTCCGTCTCTCCTTTTCTCCTCCACACCCCCTAAAACTGTTCTGGGACACCCCCCCCCCTCTGAAACTAATATGGGGATGGGGGGAGCATGATTGGGGGGACAAGTGCCCTTTCACAATTGGAACTCATTCTGCTTGTGCAATAATTTAGATGAATACCACCCATTGTGTGGTTTCTTTTATGTATGATTTTATTTTTCTCGTCTTTTGGGGACAACTGAAGACTGTAGTGTAGGCCTTCGTTTGCATTTTGTTAAGTGCTATGATCAGGCTGATAAATGATGAGTTGGTTGGTTGGTTGACTGAGTTATTATCTAAAGAATTTCATATCATGTATGTGCAAAGAAGACACTATCATTTGGCTTTACCAAATGGACCATCCCTATTTCTTCCAGAGGTGCATAACATCCAAATTGGCAAGAGCTCGGGTGTTGTGGCGGAAAACCTAGGAAAGGCTACAAACAGTTATCAAGTTTGCTAATTCTGTCTTGAAAGTACTAAACAGGCCTAGGATTACAAGAAGAATGTGGTATAGTAATATGGATTTAAGACAATAAGAAAAGAGTTGAATAGAAAAGAGTTGGTGGTTCCCTCATTGCGAGAAGTGAGGTTACAGGGAACCAGACAGAGGGCCTTATCGGTAGTGGCGCCTGCCCTGTGGAACACCCTCCCTTCAGATGTGAAGGAAATAAGCAGCTATCTTCTTTTTAAAAGATATCTGAAGGCAGCCCTGTTTAGGGAAGTTTTTAATATTTAATGCAGTATTGTTTTTAACACTTGATTGGAAGCCGCCCAGAGTGGCTGGGGAAACTCAGCCAGATGGGCGGGGTATAAATAAATTATTATTATTATTATTATTATTATTATTATTATTATTATTTAGTAAACTGAAGGAACTAATTATATAGAAAGATGTTTGGGAGAACTGTTAAAAGGTGATATAACAAAATTCAGTTAGGGGGGATTTGAGGAAGTCACTTAACAATGGAATTTAAAATGAATATGAGAAGGAATATGTCTTTTTGTTTTTATTTATTTTTTCTTTCTTACTATTGTAATGTGTTTTGTTTTGTGTGTTTTATATGTTATATTTGTTATAAATGTGGAAAATCAATAAAAACATTTGGGAAAAAAGTTTGCTAATTCTGAGAGCTCCAGCAAGGAACAGCAACTTGCTGGTGACCAGTCTGCTTTCTCTCTTTTAGGAAAAAAAATAGTAATCAATGGCATCACTTGCCAGGCTGGTCATTTTGTCCATTCAGCCTGACAGTGATGAGAACGCAGTGTTAGCATTCCAATCACGAAGAGAAAGCTATAAAAGTCACAGCCTCCAAGCTGAAGTAGTGCTTTAGAAAAAAAACCCCACTTTGTGCGTCTCAGTACAACACAGTACGTCAATGGAGACAAAAAGCTTGCCTATTTTAGCCTTCTGTGTTTTTTATGGTACCCATTGAATGAAGTGCATGCAGCAGGGAAATGTGAACATGAATAAACCAAGGTATCTGTGTCAGCTTTACTTCCTTGGAATAAGCAAAGGGGTGTTTCTGGGGTCTAGTAACTAGACTCTAGTTCCTACTGAGGAATCTTTTTTCCTCTTCCTCCCCTTTACCACCGCTTCCAACTCTCTCCTATGCTCTCTGCTTTCTCACTTTCTCCTGAAGCTGATTCCTCTGGGCTCATTGGGCTGGAGTAAGAATAGGCTACAAATAAGTTGGTAAGGAAAGTTCACAAGTAATTTGGGGGTGTGGTGTGCAGAATGGGTGCAGGATAAACTGGAGCCAAGGAAGCCTATTTTAAAAGTATATATGTAACATTTCCAGTAATGTGAAAGACTTTGCTCAGCAGCAAACCACACATTATGCCAACTCAAATATTGAGTTGCCAGTGACCACATTTGGGATTTTGAGAAAGTGCCGTTGGTGCCTGCTACAAAATGGCTCCTGTAGAGTGTATGGAGTAACACAAAATGGCTGCCCCATCAGTGGGGGGAAAAGGCTCCTGTATCAGCTACCGCCACACTTTCTCACATAGAAAAGCACTTTGCCCCTCTCCTCTGTTCAGTACAGAAGGGAAGGTGGGTGCCCAATCTGTGGGATAGCCATCCTCATATAACCAACACGCTGAAGTATAATTAATGCATGAAGGGGTTAATACCAGTTGTCCTGCCCGGCTTAGCTCACCTTGGGAAGAAGGTAACCATGCCTTTGCTCCCTTCAGTCTACCTGATGAACTCAGCGTGTGAAGAGGCTAAGCTGGTTGCTCCAGCTCAGCCGCATGGCTCTCACAAGCCATTCTTGTGTTCCTATACCAATAACTTAGGAACTTTCACACTTTGGAACTAAACCAGGCATAGGCAACCTCGGCCCTCCAGGTGTTTTTGGCCTACAACTCCCATGATCCCTAGCTAACAGGACCAGTGGTCAGGGATGATGGGAATTGTAGTCTCAAAACATCTGGAGGACTGATGTTGCCTATGCCTGAACTTACTGCCTGTGCCACCTTTCTGACTGATGTAAGAAAAGGCACATGAACCTGGTCTTTGAAGAGTTTGTAAGTAAACCTAATTTTAACTTACTAAACATGGGGTCTTTTCCTGTGCTGGGGCAAGAGAGAAGCTTTGGGATGCACAAGGGCACATTTTAAAGGTCTATACTTCCCCACTTTACTTTGCTGTGGATTTTTGAGGGGATATTTACTGAAACTTTTTTGAGAGTGGTACAGGAGGCACTGTATGTGACAAAGTCTCTTTGGGGGACAGTGCCAGGAAGGAGAGGTTTAAGCAGTTCCTTCTTTGACGCAACCTGTCCTCTTCTGAGAGAGGGGAGCTTTGCAGCTACTTTAGACAGTTGCTGAGCAATACGTGGCTTCGCCCTTCATGTGTGCCTGGGTATGCAATTAACAAGGCTGCTGTGTCTAAATATTGAGTCGCAAATGTTCACCCTTTTGTTCCTGAAGTACAAAAGAAAATGTTCTGAAGGTAAGAAATGGAGAAGACGGGGCTGATCTGCATTATTGACTCGGTCATCTTCAGAAAGCAGCATTGTGACTCCCAGTCTTTGAAGGGAGATGATGGCTCATCAATTAGGCAAACTCGCCGTGTTGGGTGATGGCTTCCTTAAAGCACACACTCCACAACCTGAGAATGATTCTCTTCTTAAGTTAGGGAAGTGGAACATAGCCAGTTGCTGCCCCACTGCTAAGGGTGAGCTGTGAGCAGTTGTCACAGGTGGGCTGAGAAAGAGGGATGTGGAATACATCAATGGCAGGACATCTGCTTTGTCTGCCGAAGGTTCCAGATTCAGCATTTGGCATCTCTGGGAAGAACTGGGAGTATCTCCTGCCTGGCATCTAGCCTCTCAGCCTACCCTACCTTTCAGGGTTGTTGTGAGAATGAAATGGGGAGGGGGAGAATCATGTACACCAGTGTTCCCCAACCTTGGGCCTCCAGCTGTTTTTGGACTACAATTCCCATCATCCTTGACCACTGGTCTTGCTAGCGAGGGATGATGGGAGTTGTAGTCCAAAAACAGCTGGAGGCCCAAGGTTGGGGAACACTGATGTACACCACCTCAAGTTCCTTGGAAGATATAAGTGTAACCCTAAAGAAAATATAAATATTTGTTTTAACAAGCTGCTCTGAACCAGGAGCTTTGGCTGAAAGGTAGCTAATACATTTCTTGAACAAATAAACTATGTAAAAAAAATAAATCCACACTACTGGGAGCGATGGACAGCATTCTTGCTCTGAAAAGATCAATTGAGCAGAAGGATAACTCATCCTCTAGAATCTTGCTTCCCCTTTCTGGGCGGCGGTGGCTGAGGACGTTGCCAAAGTTGACTGTTCCTTGCTAATAAAGTGCTCCCAACACGTACTTTGTCAACACCACTTCCAGCTAGCCTCTTGATCTGCTTTTAAAACAGCACTACTAGAATGCATGTCCCTGTATTTAAATGTTGCTCATTGATGCAGCTGACGTGTCCTCATCCATTTCCCCTCTTCCCCTCCCCACGACCAGATCTATAAAGAGTCTAGCTATGGTTGGCTTGGAGCATTGGTCACCTGTTGAGCAGCCCCTGAGGAAGCAGGTAAGTGGGATGCTCTCGCTTTGCCCATTCCTCTTCTCTGGGTTCCTGGGAGGGAGACAAAAAGCAGCAGAAAGGCTTCTGTCCTTTGAGACGGACTGAATAGAAAGAAAGAAGTCTAAACCATGTTATTTGTTGTGGGCAGGTATGAAGGCAGCCAAGTTAGACTGTTTATTCTTATTTTCCTCCTTTCCCCCTTTTTGTGGTGATCTCCCTTTCCTGCAAGTTTACCTGTATAAACAAAGATCTGCTTCCCAGTTATTTGATTTTGTGAGTGTATATTATTTTTATAGCCCAAGCAGCTCTAAGGTTTATGTGCTGTGCAGTACCATGCATCTCACTGCAAGCAGTGAACTTTATTTGCTAAGTGTGTTTAGGATAACAGCCTTATTCATAATTTTACCCCACCTGTTCGATCTTAACAAAGCTCTTCAGGCAGCTAGTTCAATGGTGTTTACTTTTGAGTAAGTATGTATAGGATCCCACCCCTAAAATGTGATCCCTCCTCACTGATTGGCTTATTCCTAAATTCCACTGATAAGGAATAAGCCACAGCGGGTAGCTCTGTGGTCTAAACCACTGAGCCTCGGGGGCTTGCCGATTGGGAGGTTGGTGGTTCGAAGCCCCGCAAAGGGGTGAGCTCCCGTTGCTCTGTCCCAGCTCCTGCGAACCTAGCAGTTCGAAAGCATGCCAGTGCAAGTAGATAAATAGGTACCACTGCGGCAGGAAGGTAAACAGCGTTTCCGTGCTCTCTGGTTTCTGTCACAGTGTCCTGTTGCACCAGAAGCAGTTTAGTCCTGCTGGTCACATGACCCGAAAAGCTGTCTGCGGACAAACATTGTCTCCTTTGACCTGAAAGCAAGATGAGCGCTGCAACCCCTTAGTCGCCTTTGGCTGGACTTAACCAGGGGTCCTTTACCTTACCCACATTGGAAATAGAAAGGTGGTTTTTGCACACTTGGTTTTCTGTGGCATTTGTCTGTGCCTCATGGTAATCATGTGCAGCAGTAGATTCCCACCCCCCTTAAAAGTTAAGGCCTGATATCCAAAACAAGTCTTGCTCACTGTTCACCCAGCAGGCTTAAAAAGTCATCTACTAAAGGTCCTCACAGCTGACAGAGTAAAATGCACAGCACAGTTTGCTGAAAATAATCAGGTGTAAATCTTGTAGCCAGAAAGTCTGATCTTGTGATAGCGCCCTGTTCTCTTAGTGGCAATAGTTCCAGCGAATTCACCACCTCAAGTAAGTGGGAAGGGATTGAGAAGTGCAAGCATATCTATTCCACTGGCTAATCGATGAGTGTGGAGGATTGTCCTTCTGATGTCCTTCAGTAACTGGAATCCTGTGCACACTTACTAAGGAGTAAACACCACTGGTTGCAGCGAGGAATTACTTCCGAGTAAACATGCACGGGATTGTGGGGTAAGGGACTGAGGGGATGCTTGCATGCACAGTCCTGAAGTTAGTGCATATTGTAGAGGGATGAGGTGTCAGAACCCCCAAATGTTCCTATTTTCCAAGTATAGCCCCAGAAATACAGACGCTGTCCTGGTTTCTGATTTGATCCCATAATGTCCTGCTTTTCCTTAGGACGTCCCTAATTTCATTAGAGAAATGTTGGAGTGTATGGAACTATGCGACCCCCGAGCCAAGGAGATACCGTATTTTTCACTCCACAAGGCGCACCTGACCATAAGGCGCACCTACTTTTTTGGGGGGGGGGGATTCAAGAAAGAAAGAAAATGCGGCTCTTGGAGGCTTTTGCGGGAGGTGGGGGGAGTGAGAGAGCCTCGCTCTGTCCCTTCCCCCACCTTCCGCAAAAGCCATGGATAGCTGTGTGAAGCCTCCCCAGGGCAGCAGGATGAAGGCTCCCTGCTGCCCTGCGGAGGCTTCGCGGCTACCCCAGAGGTGCTCAGGAGCTTGTGGGGTTGGCGGGGGAAGCCCAGGTTCCCCCCCCCCAGCCCCAGGGACCACACATTCGCTCCACAAGACGCACAGACATTTCCCCTTAGATTTTAAGAGGAAAAAAGTGTGTCTTATGGAGCGAAAAATACGGTAAGTAAATCTACAACCTTTAGAAGACATCTGAAGGCAGCCATAGAGCTGTTTTATGAGGTGAAAGTGTGAAATATGGTAATAAGCAGCGAGGTTTCCCCTCCCCCAGGGTACTCACCACTATACAGTATTGCCACCATTTTTATTTGTTTGTTTATTTGCTGTCCACAGCAGCCATCTTGTGCTGGCACCCACGGCACTTGTACCAAGATATGAATACCTTTTTCTTTCCTTTCCCCCCTTTTCCCCCAACCAAAAACCCAACTAGAAATGAGGGAAAATAAAGAGAGTGCCTCTGAGCATATGGAGAACAGGTGTTCATCCCCGCAGGCCTGGCGCAGCAATAAAACTGCCAGCACATTTGCCAAGCTAAGCAGGGTCTGTTATGGTTTCAAACTGGATGGGGAACTATATGTTGAGATTCCTGAATTACAGGGGGTTTGACTAGATGACCCCACGGTAACTTCCAACTCTATGATTTTTATGAACTGAAATCGGCAGGCGCAGGTTATATAGACAGAGCAAGCTTTTTAAATGTTTAATATTTTGTTTTATATGTTGGAAGCCACCCAGAATGGCTGGGGCAACCCAGTCAGATGGATGGGGTGTAAATAATAAAATTATTATTATAATGGAATAGGAAGTCCCTATTTTCATCAGAGAAATATTGGCGGGCATGAGGTGTTCTGACCATGAAAGGAGGGGAGCGAGTTATCTTCTTCTTTGCCTCAGGCAACGGGAATGGTTGCCTTAAATCCCTTGCTTGTACACTTTTGAAGGCATCTGACTGTTTGGAAACAGAATTCTTGACATCCTAGATAGTCTTGGTCTGATTCAGCAGTAGATGAACCCTGAACTGTTTTTCTTTTTTAAAAGAAGTATCTCTATTTAGCCAGCAGTCAAAGAAATAACACATTCATGATTTAACTTTTTAAAAGTGTACATATTTATTTCTTCATGCCCCGCTTTTCTCAGAGACATAAACAATGCAAATAATGGATTCCACATGGAAACTTTCAAACTGTGTGTGTTCCTGTTTGCTAAGGCTGCTGGGAGTTGTTTGGAGACCCCTCACGGCACCACAATTCTCAGCACCCTTAAGAAACCACAGTTCCTACGATTCTTTGTGGAAAGCCAGTGTAAAAGAGGGCTTTCAATGTATGGTGTGACCAGCATAAATAAATCAATCCACATGGCAACACTCCTCTGGGCCCCATTGCACTGACTGGGTACATCTTTTGTTGTCCATAGGGATGCCACCAGCTACTATGGGCTTAGCCACACCGTCATTTGTTCCACCGCTTTGCTCTGGGAATACCTCCTCTTTAGTGCTGAATCGGAACAAACAGCAATCGGGTTTCTTGCGGGTTGCCGTTTGTTCCAATTTAGCACTAAAGAGTGCATTTCCCTTGGGAAAGTGGTGGGGGATGGCAGAACCACTCAGACCCATGCCTAGAAAGCGCAGAAACCTTGCTTAGACCTGTGCGTGGTCAAACCCAGAGGGTCTAGTAAACCATGATGAGAGTGGGATTAGGGCAATTAAACTGAAGGAGAAGGCATTTATATGTCGAATTCTTCAGCTGGATAGTAGTTCCAGCAATGAAGAAAGGAGAAGTGTCATTAACACAGGACCATAACAGTTGGCAATGACTCCATTGAGAGAGCGGGGCTGGCACTTAATAATCTTGTACCACACTATGTTATGTATTGATGAGTGAATTAGTTCACAAATATGGACTATTTGGTTCTGTTTAAGCCTTTTAAGCTTTGTGTGCAGCTCTCAATTGCCAGTTGGTGACTTTCCTCCTTCTCAATGATGCATTATAATTTCTTGAAAGCGGGTATATTTCTCCTTATTCTTTCTTTTCCATGTTTATGCCTCAGGTTTCTAGAGACGACTCATCATGTGTGGTCTTGCCTTGGGGTTTCCTCCGTATCAGTTTTGTCCTCGACCCAAATCATCAAAACTGATTACAGTCTACATCTTGGTGCTGATTCTATCAGTCAGTTTCACTTCCGGCCAAAGAAGCTACTTTAAACACCAGATTGACAACCGAAGTGAGTAGCAACTTCTCTGCTTTTCATATTCTTACTCTTTTGCTTTTACTTAAAAAAAATAAATCCAGAAAATCAAATTTCAAAGGTCGTGTTAAAGGGTAAAGGGACCCCTGACCATTAGGTCCAGTCGTGACTGACTCTGGGGTTGCAGCGCTCATCTCGCTTTATTGGCCGAGGGAGCCGGCGTACAGATTCCGGGTCATGTGGCCAGCATGACTAAGCTGCTTCTGGAGAACCAGAGCAGTGCACGGAAATGCCGTTTACCTTCCCGCCAGAGCGGTACCTATTTATCTACTTGCACTTTGACGTGCTTTCGAACTGCTAGGTTGGCAAGAGCAGGGACCGAGCAACGGGAGCTCACCCCGTCACGGGGATTCGAACTGCCGACCTTCTGATCAGCAAGTCCTAGGCTCTGTGGTTTAACCCACAGCGCCACCCACGTCCTTTTAAAGGTCATGTTAGGTCTGTGTGAAATGTCAGAATGATGCTAGCAGGACTAAATTAGGAGTGTAGGAAGAGGAAGTTTTTAACTTCCTGTCTTGCATTTTGCCCAACTATAATTCCACCTCCAGGGTACTTACCGTAAGCTGTTAAAAGGGTTTGAGCCAGGTCAACAGCTCCTTCTCATTTTTCATCCCATCTTCCCTCAGCCAATGCTCTCAGCAGTCTGTGGCTCAACTGCTCTCAAGATTCCTTACGTTTTCGAAGCTCACAGAGCCATTTTGAGGAGTTTTAAAATAGCCAAACAAATTTACCTTTGGATAGCCCAGTTTTGCTACTAATGAAAAGTTGGTTATTATAGAAGGAAATGATAACAAGGAACTGAATGAGTGAAACATAAACTCTGGAACCATGAAATAAGCCTACCTTAAGCCAGTTTGGATTGTTGTTATTTTGTTCTCAATGAACAGTCTGTGGGGAGCAGGGAGTCTTCTGGCAATTAAGGTGAAGATCATGAGGGACAAAACTAACTTCTGCAGAGCATAAAGACTCATTCCATTAAATGTTATGGAAATTTGCGGTTGAGATGCATGAGAAATTCCATCTTTGCAAGTTTCTGTACCAGATGTCCTGAACTGCCTTTTTCAGACTAATATCTGCATTGGGACTTAGATGTTGCAACTCTCCAAATATTGTGATATAGTTCTTGGGAGTTTAAATAAGTATTTGAGTAAGTTTTTTTGGGGGGGGGTAAACATTGCAAATTAGTGTGGACATGTAATTGACTTACGAGTAAAGTCTGTGTGAGAGAGATGGACATAAAATAGATAGATTCATCTGTCCCTAATCCTAGGTATTTTACAGAGAAAGTAAAAAGCAAGCTGCTATAGATTCTTCTGTACTGGCCCCCAAAATGCAAAGCCCTTAAATAACAAAACAAACAAGAAAATACAGGAGCCCTAAAATACCCAGACCTATATGTATTTCATCTTCAAGGAATGCTGAGTGCTGTGACTTGTAGTTGCGCTGCAAATTGGGCAAATTCCTCTCTCATTTTGTACCATTTTCTCTGTATTTGCTTTGCAATTTGTGCATCGCTTATTCTGGTCTTGCAAGTCATAGGGAGGGGCAATGCCCTATGGAAGACAGTGGGACTCTTCACCTCCTTCTCTGCCCCACCAAAGATCTGTTTCAGCCACTACTACTAATATACACACCTCAAGGGCACTGCAAGTAGGCTAGGCAAGGGAACTGTGTTGAATCAGGTGAGAGAGTGGTCTTGTCCGGGCTGTAAGTTGTTTAGCCTCACCACAATGCATCTATCAACAACAGGATTGTGGAACCACTCTGGCTGAATTCCAGATCCTGAATCCAATTAGGCCAGTGTGGGTTGCTTTAGGATTGGGCTGGAGTGAGTTGAGGCAGCCCCAAGTCACATTGAGTTCACTTGGAGTAATCTGGGGCTGTCAAAGTGGGTGGAGGCTGGGTGGCACAGGGAGGAGACACAGGCAGGGCTTAATTAAATTAATTAATCAATGTGCAACACCTTGATTCAGTTTGGGGCCAGCTGCAGATCATCCCGGGTTGTGCTGGAGCCATTCCAAAGTGCCACATGGTGGTGATGTGCAGTCTTGATTTCCATTTCAAGTTGCATAGTGAATATATCACCTGTCCTTTGACTCTTGTTGATACTATCCCTTTTATGATATGCATTATTGGTAAAAAATATTGAAGGCATGTTCTTCCCTTGGGTTTGTTTTATATACCGTCTGTCAATAGCGACAAACCTTTGAGTGTTTTCCAAGAGACCAGGGGATTTACATTGCTAAGCCAAGCATTGCTAACCGATAAATGGGTTGATAGGTCTATGTTCATCAACTGCTTTGAATTCCAGGTCCTGAGATTGATCCATTTTGGTATGTGGGGCGTGGAGTTCGACCCATTGGCCGGTTTGGGAAAAGGCAGCTGAAGTTCGGTCGGAATAATCTGCGGTCTAGAAGCAGAAACCTGGAACTTATCTTGACTGCTTTACAAAAACAAGCAGCACTAGAAGCAGATGATGATGGCTGGTGACTTTCTTTCTGCTCATTATACTTAACAGAAACAAACTTTCTTTTCTTTTTTTCACTTTAAGTGCCATCTCCTTTCTACACACCCATGCTCATTTGCCTGGTCTCGATTTGCTGCCCTGTACTTATTTCGTGTGCAAATGGCATGTACTTAAGATTCAAAATCTTGAATCCAATTCACGTCCAATTCGTGTAGTGAGCACAAATTCAGTCCCATCTTCCACCCCATTACCTTAGTCAGGAGACCAACAGTCTCAGAGCTGACCATGAGAGCTGTTTATGATGGTCCATACAGCATGTGCCATAATACACACATTACCAGAAACTGGATGCAAGGGGACTTTACTCCATGGGGTACCCATTTGTATGCACAGGAAGCAGTGGTCACTCTTGCTTAACTGGGATAATTTTACTATTACACTGGGCAAAAGATGCCTGCATTGCAGGGCGCTGGACCCTCGCGGTCACTTCCAACTCTACAATTCTATGATAGTTCGACCAAAAAGATATGCACTTGAAATAAGTTGTGTAAAAAGTTATCGGTTGCATCCTCTCCTGCAATATTTCACAGTGTGTTATAATGAATGAAAACAACATTGATAAAAGCATTATGTAACGGTCACTATTAAAAAGAAAGAAAGATGTGAAATCTGAACTCTTGTCTGCTTTTAGGCTGTTACCAATACAGCAGCCTGGCTGCATATCTCATCGGCACCGGCAAAGCAAGGCGATACCTCATGAACTGGAGTTGGTTACTGGAACCGGTCATTCAACAAGTGTACAAAATGTTAAGAAAATTGGATGACATGAGGTTAAAAAAAAGTTGGATCACTTGATGGAATGACCCATACGGAGAGCCACTTGAGATTTGGGGTTCTGTCAAACTCAGATCCATAGCCTGGGATTAATGGAGGGGACATAACAAAAATATGTGGATGGGAAGCATGTTGTACAAGTCTCTACTAGTTCTCCATGTATTGGGCTGTGGCCTAGTTCTCTTTGAGATGGACGTCTCCTTAGGGCATGGCTGGAAGCATTCTCAGGTCAATGCAGTCCTCCAACATACGATAGGAATGTATGAGCAGCAGATTCATCTACTACTAGAGCGTATACTGTATTGTAATAGCTGGCCTTAAATCCCATACATACATCTGGTCAGCAATATATATATACACAAATCCAAACATACTGAGTACATTACATGTTTTCTGTATCAATCAGGGCCCCTAAAAACCACGTATTTTTCCGTAAATCATTTGTTTTACTCTCATATCATTTCTCTTCACAATAATTCCTGGCAAAAATGCAGATAACAACAACAAGGCAAGCATTAAGTTCCACTCAGACGGAATCATATTATCTTAACCATTAAAATATTCTTCATTTATATATATATAAAAATCTAAATATAAATATTGACACTAAGGATTGAACTCACTGGATGACAAAATAATTATTTGTGTGCTATAACATATACATTTTATGGTTTTCTTTAAAACGGTAAATTAAATCTTTGCACATTTGGCACAGGTAAACCTTTGTAAAAATCGAAATGCCATACAGCAGGCAGGGATTTGACTTTTTTTTTTTTTGCAATGTCTACAAGTACACATTTTTGTCAAAGATGACTGAACAGTTTAACATTTGAACACAGTAGTTGCTTCTCATGCCTCTTATGGAAAACATTCTATTCCAAACTCAGTTTTGTTTTATATCACACCAACAGAACAAAAGTCAAAGAGTTATCTATTAAAATTAGTCATGTTGGATTGAATATTACATACACAATAGTAGCTAATAATATCATTGGACAATTATGTAGACCAGCCATCATTATTGACATTTCGTTAACACACACAGACCTGCAGAAACAAGAATCTAGGAATGTATCTTGGACAAGTACAGAAATAGTGGTGTGAATGGAAACCGACACAATTGTATTAGACCCCTACTTTAGTTAAGTAGCTTAGTTTATTTGATCATATACTATATGGATGTTTTTTATATACTGCAGAAAAAAACCCTGCCATCTGAATAGTCAAGTTTTATAAAACTTAGTAAGAATTTCATGCATGTATATAATAGCATCATTTTGTCTGCAGCATTTTAAAAAAGGGAGTGAATGTGGATAGGGATTTTAGATAAGGGCCTAGGAATACACAAACCCAAACGAAAGTAATGAAACTAACATTGTTGCAGGTACACAATTCCATTGTAGTGCAATCCTAAGCCTGTTTACTCAGCAGTAAGTGACATTAAGCTCAGTAGGATTTACTCCCTGGGATTGCAGCCAGAATCTGTTTTAACCAATCTTCTATTCTTACAATTAAAGAGTGGTAAAGGCATTAAGTCTAGCCTTTTAATGCATGCTTATGAGTGAAGTGGGGGTTCTAATGTGTTAGCATTTGTCGCATAGAACCTGGGTTGCTAGTTGTACGAAGATTATCAGAGAAAGAGCACGAGGCTGCAATCTTGTACACAGTGTCCTGACCACATAGGGCTTGCAGCAACAAACGTATTTGCTGCTCAGATGCATTCTAATGTGCTGCCTGGATTTTAGCTCACATACTCAACCAAATCAACTGTTAAAGCCACTAAATGATTCTGGCCCAGCACCAGTCAGCCATAATGAGCACATAGTAAGCAGTACAGACTGATTGATGGACCTCACTTGTCTAGATTGTGGGGGTTGAGAGCCCTGAAACAGAACCATCCATTGAAATTATGACTTTCTAAAAAGGACCAGTGATTCCAAAAGCCCCTTCCGCACACTTTGGTGGGAACAAAGGAATCAATAATAGACTCTCAATCGAGGGACTATCAAAATCTGATCATTAAACTGCAAACACACACTTCTAAAAGTACCTATATATATATAGTCTCATACTAGGGTGATCACCTACACTTTATGGCTAGCTCACTTTTGTAACTGAAGGTGAAGCGAATGTGCATTAATCTGAATCTTATATTCTAGGAAAGGCTCTGAAGTTACAGACTCGGAGACCAGTTCTAGCAGTGGAAAGACTAGGACTGATTTCAGCTGCACGTGCCTTTTGTTGAGAATGGGAGAGATTTATAATTCATCCAGGGGGAAGTTCATTTAACAAGCAAATATAGAGTGCTTCGAGATAGGAATTTATTGTGGAATCAGGACTGCTCATGAACACAAGGTTTGCCCAGCATCTGCCTGACACGGTTGTCATCAAAATGCCAGTCCATACCCTTTTCTACACACACACACCCCAATTTCCTTAACATGGAAGGTAAAATACCTCATTGAACATGACATGCACAGCCATTGCTGGTGTGAAAGTTCTTTAGCCCAGTGGTTTGTTAGGTATGAGTTGGTGTATTGGTAAATAGCCTCTACCACCACACTCCTACCTCTGAGTGTGCTCCTCACATGAGCACAACCTAGCCATTTCGTTTCTGGTGGCCATGGCCCAAACAATACGAGTGTGCCTGTTTCTGCAGATTGCCACATGCGGAAGGCATGTCCGAATTTCAGCAGCCCGGTTTGGAGCAGCTGCTCTCTCAAGATCCTCAAACAATACATGCAGGGAATTACTGACTCAACACACAGAGGTCTTTGGATGAGCATTTCGGTTCTTTGTTGCTGATGTGCTGCTGTTCTTTTGGATGGGGGACTGTTTGTTTATGCCGCTGATGGTTACAGGGGTCTGCAAAGTATTACATTATTAATTGTTTTGGATACTGCTGCATCCAAATCAAACAGCGGATTGATTTAGCTAAGTATCACTCTTGCAAAAGACCTCAGTATTATTATTATCATTATGGAAAAAACAAATGAATGGAAATTGATTCCTGCCCCCCAAGCCCACCCACCCCGAAAAAGAAAGTACAAACCTCTGTTTCCTGTTGTGAATTAAGATAAATAAAGGCTGGTAATAGCACTTCTGGTGATTTTTTTTTAATGAATGCATAAAAGTACCTGCACATATGCTTAGAATGGAACTGTGGTGGGGGAGGGGGTTTGATGGCAGGGACATAAAAGGCTCAGCACAGATACATTATTTCAAGCTCTGTGAATGGCTAATAATTGAATAGCAACAGATGTCCATAACTGGGGGGGAAACAGAAGCTAATTTGACAATAGTGTGCACATAAAAAACAAATCTGAGCTACCTTTCAGATTTATAAAGCTCGTATCTGGAAGCACCCATATCTTCCACTTACAACACTCATGGAAGGCAAGCACAGATCACAAACGAAAAAATGCTTCCCTCCCATTTAAGCTCCCCAGTGGCCATCCCTTTCCAGCATTTGCTTTACGATTTACCCAGTTACTTTTGGAGTTCCTCTTATTGCTCAACAATACATACATGACTATGACTGTGTGAACAGTAAGGTCCCAGCAAATCTGGATGACGGGGTGGATGGCTTGAGTTTTTCCTTGATCTACACGTGGGATATTGGCTGACGTTAACGGATGAATTAGGAATACAAAACATACTGTATTTTAAAGACAACGAATTTTAGAACAGTTGACAATGTGGGGAGGGGGGGAGTGCATCTTAAAACATGGAGCCTTGCTTATATGAAACTCGACGTCCTTTTTGGAGTCTCATGAGAACTTTAAGGCAGAGCTTCCAACAGCAGACCACAATGCTGAAGACTTGAACAGCTTTCTCAGTGAGGTATCCAAGCAAAGCCCTATTACGGAGGCATTGTGGGTTCTTGAGGGTCCATTTTTTTATTGGATGTATACAATGGCTGTTATATAAAGGCACTCGCGTGTGTAGCCTCAGGCAGTGTGTTAATGGCAGTAGAATTCTAGAATTCTAGTACATTACAGCAGACCCTATTGTTGGTTCCTAAAAAGGGGAAATACAGAATTAAAGAAACATTAAATTTGATAACGAAATAATATAAATATACAGCAAAACTTCTAACTTTTAACTCATGGGATCAGACTATTTACAGGCTCAATGATCCAAAGTCCACAATGGCGAAAGGGTTATTCCAAAGGTCTGTTGGTCAGTTAGACCTCACTGTTCTTCCCAAAGCTGAACAAAAATTGTAATTTAGGCTTAACAGGTTACTCATTTCTAAAACTCAATTTTGGCTTTGAAGTTCGAAAATTTTTAATTTAGAAGCTGAGATTTTGAAGTCATTTTATAACCAGGATGACGTATCACAAAAATGAGGGTGTTAAAAATACACACGTGTTTTTTTGAGTCGCAGCATGAAGTTCCTGCTTGATTCAATACATTTCATTGGTAAACGAATTTTAGAATTCAAAACTTGCAATGAAGTTTGAACGTTTGGGGGTTTTTCCCTCTTAAGATCTGGGTTTTGGGAGAGAAACAGCAAACCCAAGGACCAATGGGATGAGTGAGTTTGGGAGAGGTGGACCTTGGGCTATCTCAGGGCTACACTAGCCCCCCTCGAGCAGCTTATGTTGGAAGCTCGGCTCTGCCCTCGCCGGTCCTGGAAGGAGCCTTTTAAAAAGTCCCATACGCTCAGAGACTTTGCGCCTGTTCATTGGGGAATATAGGAAGCCCAGAGCACCTGTTCTTTAGATGTCCCTTTTATGAAGAGGCACGTAGTAAGACCATTGATCCCCTACTGGTGAGGCTTGCTGACCTCCCGGAAAAGCAAAAATTCAACCTTTTCCTGTTAGGCAAA